TGGACGACTGCGACAAAGCTAAGGGAAAAACAAAACATGGACAATATTAAACAAAAAAACAATTTTAAATCAAGTCAAGTTTGTTAACGACACTTTTGAAACAAGTTTTAGTTTCGTTTGAGTCTTGGCACATTAGAATATTTGCTCTCGGTTTCTATCGCGTGATAGTTGACGATTGCGCATTCGAGGTCGCAACGTACTTGATAACAATAAGGGACCGTGTAACGAGTATATAACGGCATTGCAAGAAAGGAAGGGAGATACAAACATACATACACATGCATACTCTATAACAAGGGCTTTTATAGTTACGCAGATAAGCAATTAAATAGTCATGAAAACTAGCATATAATAATATAATAAGCTTATCAAAGGAAATACAAATTCTTAGATTAATCGGCTAAAAGTAACTTAATCACTCGTGATCTATAAACTCTTATGAAGTCTGGAGATTTTATGCGCGTCACCGCTAAGGGCATTCCGTAGACTATAGAAAGCCTCGCTCCACTTAGTATTTCTCGTATGAATATGAGAAGGTAAGGTAAATTTCTCGATTAAGTGCAGATCGGGGACGAGTTTACCAACACATTTAACCACTCATTCAACAACGTATTGTATAAAATAACAGTATAATGCTGCTAAGGGAAGGTACGTTTTTTATTGGGGGGCGGGGGTGGGTCGGGGTATTTTAGAAATTTTTTGCGAAAAAAGGCGGGGCCCTCCCACTTCCCAGAATGGATTAATGCAAATACCTACACAAAACATCTGACCCTCTCCCCACTCCCCCCAAGACAAAAATAACCGGAAGTGAAAAGAACTAACCGGAAGTGTTAATCACATAACCGCGTCTGCGCACAAAGCAGCTAATTGCGTGGCGTGTGATTGCGCGGTGAAAACCTGAAAATGGGCAAGGATGTGCGAGGAATAGAAAGAAGGAAATGCGCTCGTGGTGAATGCGAGGATTTCATGAGGTCAGATGGAGCAACTTGCTCAGATTAATTAAGCGATTGTTTGAGGAAAGTGAACTAGTCAGTGGGGACAGTGAGGCAATTAGAAAGTTTTCAGATAAATACATTATCCCCGAAAAGCTTGTGGCAGAGTATATTGAGCACCTTGCCCAGATAAAAATGCGCAAGGAAAAGAAGAAAGAGGAGACTGAAAAGGAGCGAATAGAACGGCTGAACCGGAAGTACAATGACATTGACTGGGTTGGACTGTACAACTTCGATAAGCTGTCGTCCTTGAGGGTGGAAGAGTATTCCTTTTACTTTTCCCATCACAAGATCACCTTCAAGGGGAAGAAAGCTGAAAAGGTCGCAATGATCACAGCGCGCATTGGCAGCGTGCTGTACGATTCAATGGAGTGTCAACAAGGTTGAAACTGACTCGCAAAGTGATGTAGTAGATCGAGTTGTCAGTTCAAGCCCGAGTTGCTTAAGTAACGAATCGTTACCGGAGACTGATTTTATACCAGAACCCCGCGCGGAAACATTACCGCCGTCAAACTATGGATGAAAGCGGGCACGGGTCGAGAGAAACAATTATGTTAGTTGGAACAAGATAGTTTTTTGATATATTTCGACACCAGTAAATAATTTAGATTAATCTTGATTGGTAGCTTTGCTTTTATGTACAAGTTTAAGGTTTCTATACACTTCGCGTGTTTGTTAGAGTCAACTAAGCGACATGGGGTAATGTTTTCCTTGCCAAAAGAAATTGTGACCCTCCCCCGGTTGCGAATACAACATGTTTGACCCTCCCCAATTGCAAAATTGGGGAGGGTCAAACCCCTCCAAAGCCCCGGCCCACCCCCCAATGAAAAACGTACCTTCCCTAAGTTTTTTTCTATTTGTCACTACTAGCTCGATCCTACTAGCCTTAGAGAGTTCACTGTAAGACATTTGATTAACACGGTGACAACGGTGAAATATCAATTTGGTAGCTTTGCTCCCACTGTGATTGAATGTCTGATACATTATCTACCTTTGGTACAACTAGTAAAGCCATCTCCATAGTAACCAGGCGAACACTTACAAGTTTCAGATTGGCAGAAGGCAAATATAACACAGATACCCTGACCACCACGTAGGACTAAAACGTTCAAAAATCACATAATTTAAATATAAGTTTATTCCAATTACACATCCAAAAAATATAAAATGTTTGCTTCTTACTTTGCGCCAACGTTGGTCTGACCTGAAAAAGCACGGAAACTGAAATCTGCAAGAAAGAGAGAGAGAATGTCCAAAAAAAAAAATAAAATAAAATAAAACCTTTTGAGCTTTCCCAAGTTTTCCTCCACACAGTGAAATTAGGGTTGTTTTCGGTATGAGAAGCTCGCTAGGTGGTTACGGTCGGTTTGAATGCGAACTGTGCCTGGGGTCACCGAGTCGTGCTATTGGGCCAGGCACTTATAATAAACCTTTTGCTTCTCTCAATCCAAGAACTGATAAATGAGATGCGTTGTCTTGAATGAGAAAATGTTAACCTTTCAATAATTTTGATGAGGTAGTTTACCAAACCTTCAGAGATGCGCTAGACATTTCATTAGAGTCACTCTCCGTTCCATCTTCTTAATCATGTAGAGGTTACGTAAATTGTTCCTGCCTTGGATGGGAGCTCCCCTCCCAAGAAAACAATTCCAGCAGACAGTGTTTAGAGCCACCGTTTAACCTGTTTCTGAATCCGCACCCACAACTGAAACTTTGAAAATTTGAAATTTAACTTGCTGAGAATAACTCAATAATTGAAAAGGTGGAGGGGGTACTCGAACAAGTTTTTGAGTTATAATCCCCTAAAGATAACATCAAGGTGTTTTCATCGGCTTATATCGTTGTTAAGGTATGAAATGACTATAATGTATTTACCAATGATAAGCCATTTGTTTGATGCCATGACTGCAGTGTATATTGAAAAACAGTGGTAGTGTCTATTTTTCTGAGAAGAAGTATTGAAACATGCTGCAAGCTGCTTCGAGCCACCTTAATCACGTTTGGTTAGTTTAATTTTACTTTATGATTCATCTATTTCGGCGTTTCTTGGTTGTAGACAATGCAATAGCATTTCTACTTATCAGAAATTCTTTCAAAAGACACATCTGCCAGATCAAACAATCTAGGTTTGATTAGTTTTTCTGCGATGTAATGCTGAACTTACCGCGAACACTTGGAAAAGCAGGGACTTAGTTAGCTTTCTCCTCTTGAAATCTGATTCCCACATATTTCTCCCGCATCATTTCGCCATAACGGTTGTTAGTTGATAAAACGCAGAAAAGAAAATCTTCCAAGTAAAGCTGCTGATCGACAATTATGAGAATACCTCTGTAAGTTAATTTCATGCAGTCTATGCACATAAGTGTTTGTAAAATAACTGATCTATCCTTTACGCTGCCACACTTCCAACTGTTCCCCACAAGTGTCAATTAACAGGATATAACTGAACGATGAAACAAAAGATTTGTAAAGACAAAGCTTGGGCTGTAGAGTGCGTGGATTATATTAGAAAATAACACTTTTACTTGGATAAAAAAATATATGCTGCGGATATCCTTCTATAGTATCTCCTTGTTAGTTTGTTGTGACTTTTGTTGTTTCAAGTTTAATCAATTATTTATTTGCCTTTTTTATCAGGAATGATGTAATCTGCATGTGATTAATCAATGACTAAGACAAATTTTTGTCAGAATCAAAATATTTTGAAACAATTTCACAGCTTAAGCCGCGACGCTGGGGGTTGATATTATTTTTGTTAGTGCAATCGAGACTTGTTCTTTATACTCTGTTCATAGCTCAAAATACATGTTCTTCGCAATGCACTGTATAGATTCGTTCATTCTTGGATAACGAACGACTTCATTAGGAAATTCTTAAAAAATCTACTGTATCTGACCTAAAATTAAAAAGGAAAAAAAAAATAATGAATTTTCAGCACCCCCGTTTTTGTTTCATGCCCGAGGGACTTAAAACAAATCTTGAAAAGAATATTTTTAATTATTCATGTTGTTATTTTACTCTGACGAGGCTGCCAAGAATCAAGTATTTTTATATCTTTTCAGGTCAGTTACAATTGTTTTGAGGATTTTTTTCACTGACCGCCCAAACGGTATGAAAACTTCGTCTTACAATGTAATTGCTGCCTTCACTTTTTACTCTTTTGGAACGTCTGCATTCAAGTACCGAGGCTTAACGGTTGATATTTAACAGCTGAATAGTTCTCGCGCTAATCAACCTAAATTCAATTAGGAACTCGTTTCCTTTACCATAAACAAGTAAATTGACATCGTAGGGGAAAGTCTCACGCATGCATGATCAGTTAGGAAATTGTCAAGATCGAACACCTGGAAATGAATGTGAGAAGTAACACAGAGGTCTTGGGGAAAGCCATTCCACCTTGATAAATGATCACCGGGGAAGCATAAGCAATACTCCTTCATTTTAAATGTATGAATTTTAATCAAATTTTGTTGAGCAGGACCATTGTTTAATTTTTGATAAACTTAAAGGGGCCTTGTAACTGCTGCCTATAACAATATCGCCCGGAAAGTACTGTGCCATACCTTCATAGGAATAACAATAAGCACATAGCCCCGATGTCTCTGCATTACCTGATAGCAAAATAATTGTTGCTAAGATTTCTAAAAAAGATCATTATGGGAACTTTAGAGACACGCCTTCGACTTAATATCTTAACGTTCTTACTTTCCAAGTACTGTTTTCTGCTTGATAAAAAGTCACTAAGGAGAGCATAGCAAATATGGATGCTGAAATTATTAGTCGATGAGACCTTTGTTTATTGCTTAGTTTATGAAAAGAAAAAAAAATAAAGGTTTTAAATAGCTTGAAGTTACAATGCAATGAAACCTGCAAGGAATCTGTTGACAAAAACACAAAAGAAAGAAGAAAAGATATCATCTTAAATTATGCAAGGAAATTTTGGATAGTATTAATCTACGTATATACCGGCAAAACTGTGGTGGGCTGATATAATTCATGAGATGTCCATTTCCAGTCTCTTGTTTCAATTTTATTTTTCTAGTTTTATTATAGAGAACACTGTTTACTTACAGAGCTGCTTTCCTAAGTAATATAGAAATGTTCACCTTAGTTTCTTAGGCACATAAAGTTAATGAGAAAGAGTATCCACTGAACGACTAGAGGTAGCTAAGCTCGGGTCAGTTCATATTACAATAATCCGAATTATGCCATTATTCATTGTTGTCGTTAAGAAAATAAATATATTCTATAATCACTTTGACCGATAATATGCAAGTTGTAGTAAACAGGCCTTCGAAAAAATACTTTATTTATTAGATAAACATAGCTAAATATTAAATTTTGCGCTAATTCGTATATTTTGAGATGATCTACAGCTTGCCTCAGTTAAAATAAAAGCTGCCTTACGACTTCTATGCTGTCTCAATTCTAACCTGTATTTGGTGTACAACAATCTCAATTTCTATTTATCCAATACTGTGGGCGAAATACAAGACAAAAGAAGTTCACGAATTCATTTTTTTATTGTTATCCTCTGAGCTACTTTCGAATATCGCTGTATTGAAAGTAGCCTATTATTTATTCGGCGAATTGAGTTACTATGGACAACAGAGATGTCCAACTTTATGTTTTGTTGTTAGACAAGCGCTGAGGTTTGACATTTGCTTAGATTCTTCATTTAACAGAATGAAGAATTTTGCAAAATTTTAAAGAGACCAGCAAAGCTTTAAAAAGCAAGCAAATCAAATAACTGTAGCTAAAAGTCGATCGTGACTAAGATTATCTCGTCATCGTGCCACATATATATAACAGTGCTGATTTACATGTATATCACGATTTTCATAAAGTTACTGTTAAAAAAAATATTTCATTAACATATTTACTAAATTTAATATCGGCAAAGTCTTAAAAGCAAAATCCCATAGGGTTTGCAAAGTTCTTATCTTAGCAGATGCTGTATAATATTCACGATTCTTCAAATTCGTAAACCGTCGTCAACCTCCACAGGTCCAAGTAAGCGCCCTTCGCAGTACCGCCTGGGAATGTAAGCCGTTCCTAAATGAAGACGAAGAGTACACTCTTAAAATTCGAGTGATCAACAGATAATTTTCCTTTACTATATCAACAGACTGTAATGCAGAAAGATGGGAATAGTAAATGAAATAGTCATTATAAGGCATATCTAAAGCTGATATTAAAAGACATATGGAGATTTGGATATCGAGAAGAGCACCATATTGATATAATTTTATAAAACGCAACAAGTCTTACAGGTTTTACAAAGAGCTTTATGGAGGAAAACCGTGATAGCAATGGCAACGAGAACGCCACAAAACAAAAGGTTTAATGAGTAGAACAGTAGCTGTGCACAACGTGAAATGACTAAGTTCTGCGTATTTTGGAAAATGTGGACGACGGCGACTAATGTTTTGTATTTTCATTTGGAATTGAACGCTGGCGTTACATAGTTAGTTTTCGGAGCAAGTTCTGAGACCAATAGGCGCACTAAACAGATCTAGACAATTGCGAAATTTGTCCTCGGGGTTGCCGTCGTCATTGCTTAAGCTGTCTAATAACTTGTTCTCAACACGTCAAGACGTACCTCTTATGAACTCAACAGCCGTACAATTCCACCCGCAGTCCTATGTGATTGTTCCATGAGCGAGGGACGATCCTGAGCCAGCGAGTTCTCAGCGGTATCTTTAGCTCATTTCGTACCACTGAATTCGTGTCAACATTCCCGATAAAAATCTGTCGAAACAAGAAACAGTTTTAAGATGGAGAAGTTCAAATCAGGGCAATTGATGATGAAAGAGGTAGTGTTCCTGCATTATGGCAAAGATTCTTGTATTTCCTCCCTCTTTGCTAGAAGATGTAACAACACCTAAATCTTTCAACAAACGTCCCATGTATTAAGCAGATCCCGCATTTCAAATGCTTCGTACGCACATTTCTGCAGCCTGTTAAATAGATGGACATAGATAATAGATAATATCAAAGAGACGCGACTCATACTGTTTTTAACCAAATATGATAGAAATAATATCACAGGATGAGCAAAAGCACACTCAAAAACAGGTTTTTTAGTAAACGATCGAAAATCAAGCAAAACGCTGCGAAGATTGAAGCGGATTTCTAGATGAGGTGAACTCTTTTCAAAGTGAGAAAACTACTGTCCAGGTCACCGCGGTCTCAAAGCTGACTGTGTTCCTTTAAAGCAAGTCTTTTGTTCCGAAACTTTTAGCTCCAAGAAGAAGCGCTCAAAATATTAACGAGTCAGCAACTAAACATTCTCTAACAGCTTTCCTCCTCTTACCCGTTTTCGTCCTCCTTCCTTGTATGTGTTCCATCTTTCTCCATCATGCGACGTCATTATCACATAGGTCTTAACCCATTCCTTTTCATTCTTGTTCCCATACCCTTGAGTTGCCACTGCAGTCACGGCTCGCACCAGCAGCAGGTCTATTTGTAGCCATGGTGACGGATCATTTTTCTTCGCACTCCACCCCTGAGGCCATTCGCTCAAGTACAGACGCGCGCGTGCGGCGCCGTAACGCGCACGGTTGTTGTTCCACGCAGAATGAGCTGATAGCTGCTGGTCGGTGATAAAACCACTTTCCATTCCCAAGGCACCGTTGCATTTTTCTACAGTGAATGAAAAAAAGAAGTCGAAAAAACGGAATTCACTTAAGCAGGCTATTTGAAACTTAACTTTTCTATTCTCAGCATTTTGTAGAAGAGTCTAGAAGAGATCCTGAATCAAGGAAAGGCTATCTCCAATTACGAATGAAGGCAAATCTTGTCCATACCCTGGCATCTCGTTCCGTTTCCTGTCTTGACAAGATGAAGCCCATTGGGACATGAACATGAATGACCTTTCGGTTTCAATAAGCACAATCCCGTGCAGCCGCCATTTTCAACAGCGCAGGGGTTCTTGACTGCAGCAGCTAAAGAAGAAAGAAAACAAAATGCGAAGATTAGGAGTTGATTATAAAGAAATCACAATTTTGTTGAAATTATAGCTTAAGGAAGTGACAATTGGAGTCTTATGTCTATTATGGTATCTGCCAAAACAAAATCGCTCTAAAGAATGGCTAACGACCGAATCGATCAATAGGCCCTTGTTACTTTTATCGCTCAGTCCTTCTCACCTGTTCTTCCACACGGTTGCACAGCTTTGATATCGAATATCTTTCCACTGCTCCCTACAAATGACCTGAGGGGCTTGTCAGGAATCTTTGAGTTCATTCCCATCCTTTGGATTCTTCCCAAGGTCCAGTCTGTCCAGAACAACGTCCGGTTAAAACTGGTTATGCCAAACGGGTAAGTAGTTGGATTGTAAGCCTTACGCATGCTCAGATCTCCTAGATTTACGCAAGAGATCGCCCACATGCCGGCATCAGAGTAGCAAAGTTCATTTGTTGAGTGTACGAGCGTTAAGCCGTTCGGAAGACTCAGGGGATATTTAACGAGTACTCGGCGATCGGTTCCGTCCATGTTAGCCACTTCGATCTTCGGACGATTTCGGCTCCAATCGGCCCAGTACATTTTCCTAAAAGTCGAAATGAATAGTGATGCAGCTTAGAAACACTTTCATCCAAAGCAGGATATTTATGATTTATATCACAAGAACTATGTAATGAGTTAGCCTGTAGACTGACAAGAAGTTGATGAAAATTAGCGAACACTCAACAGGGCAAACCTCATTGTCATTAAAATACATGGGCTCAAATCTCACCATCTAGAGTGAAGATTGGGGAAATCTCTCTGTATTTTTCGGCCAATTTCGAATGATGTATTCAAGAAAGTATGTAATATTTCAGTTGGCCTTATGTGCTCCGCCAAATCAGAAGCTTACTGTTCTCGTACAACGAACCCGTCGTACAAGTCATTCCAAATTAAAACTAACGTTACTCCTCGTACAATATTTGTTTGTATACAAACACAGTGCACTGGGCTATTTGTTGTCCCCTCCAGCTTACCCGTTAGGTGGATCAACTATGATGGCCCTCGGATCCACCAGGTCAGAAGAGATAAGAGTTCGTCTGTGGCTGCCATTCAGCATGGCTACTTCAATGGTGTCAAGCCACGAGTCCGTCCAGTAAATGTTCCTTCCCAACCAATCCACCGCAATTCCTGTCAAAGTTAGAAAATTCAAAGGTTGTTTAATGACAATGAGAGAACTGATAAGTAAATAATTAGGTTTGACGAAATGGATGCAAATCCTAGCAAAAGACTTCTGATCGGCAGGGCTTCCTTTGACTCAGTTCATTCTCTTTGTTCGTCTGATTGTCTAATACACCCATTATACTATGCTTGCCAATATGCTTGCCAATATGCTTGCCATCGTCATTGGCAAATACACTCCTCATTGATCAAGTAAAGGTCAGAGCGGTTTTCAATTGAGTGTAGTGAAACAAAACCAATGACTTTTCGACACTCATATGAAAACCACACTAGTACCTTTGTAATTTCCATTCAGCTCAATGTTTGAGGTGTGCGGACCAGATAGTTATTCAGTGGTAGCCAGACTCTGTTGAACATATCTTAAGTCGACCACAGTCTCAACCCCTTAACTTGATGATAATTAATGAGTAAATAGAACCAGTAAAGAATCCATAAGCTTGTTTTCTCTCACCTTCTGGACTTGTAATTTCTCCGCTGTTAATAACGACTTCCATGTCGCTCCCATCATACTTAGCACGCACGATAACGCCCTTAGTGACCTCAGTCCAGTACACCGTCTGGTCCACGCAATCATAGTCAACACCAACGTGTACAGCGCCTGCTTTCTGGTAAATTACTCCTATGTTGTTGGGTCGGGGAGGAAGAGACATGCGCTGTATGCTGTTTCCTTTACTGAAGATCAGAGACGCATCTCCATCTAATAAAAATAACTCAACGTAGTAAACAACAAGATAAATGACATTGCATGGACCATCTCTTTGTGGTAACCGCGATGGCCTTATGGTGAGTGCACCTGAATTCGGATCGAGCACTCCGGGTTCGAGCCCTGGTCGGGGTCATAGTGTTGTGTTCTTGCAACAGTAACAAATGAATGTGTCATACTTACGCCATTGGCATCTTGCGCCGGAAAATCCAGGGGGACACAGACAGGTGTTATTATCAGTACAGGAGCCACCGTTCAAACATAGATTACAATCCTCTGCAAATGGGAAAATTAGGTACCATTGTGCAAATATGATGATGCTACTTTAAGCAAACAAGCAGATAGAAAAGCAGATAATTCGTCAATTTGTCGAAATTAGGGGAAGCTGACCTTTCGAGCGTTCTTCCTTGGTCGGTAGCTAACGGCGGACTAACGATCGATACGTCAATTAAGTTGATAGTCTACAAAGTGTTTTTTCTTGCCCTTCGACACCGCATCAAACAACTAATCACTGTGAACGGACAAACAGACAGACACAGGGGCAGGCGGACAAACAAGCAGACAGAGGGGCAGGCAGGCGGGCAGATAGACAGGAAGGCAGGCCAACCGACCGACGGACCGTCCGACAGAGATAAACAATCGCCCAGACATACATTTAGAGAGATAGACAGACAGATAGACAGACAGACAGACAAACAGAGAGTATCAATGTTGGCTTGGTATAAAATTCGTAAATAAATTTGCAATTGTAGATCGCGTTCCAAACATTGTTTTGGGTATTTAGTTGCGTTCTACAAGTTGATTACCTCACATGAGGACGACACTTACTTCTGCAAGTCTTTCCAACCATTTTGTAGCCCGGAAGACAGTGGCACATGAATGAACCAGCCATATTGAAACATTCAGCTTTATCGGGGCAAACTGATTTATCCAGACATTCGTTTATATCTAAGAAGGAAAATTTACGTCACCATAAGGACTTAGCAAATTATACCTGAAACGTAAAAAGTTCGCCAAGAAACACCCCATTGGGACATGTGGTAAGCAAGGTTTACACACGTGACAACCACAAGACTTGCAATGCCAATTGATTCCATTCTTTGAGCCCAGAATAACCTCATAAAACACCTTTCACAGCGTAACTGTTCATGTATTTCAGAGAAACTGATGACCCATCATAAATCCTAAAAATAGCTTTTACTGTGCCCTGATCAAGCATCCGTGCAGTTTTATGCAACATTTCCCGTTAAATTCCCGAATGAGATGCCATTCAACTCACCGCTACAAATAACTCCCCTCCCCGTATAGCCTGGTTTACATCGGCACTCCTTCTCTGGTTCGTCACTGTTGTCGAGTGCCACGCAATCGGCATTGTAGTGACAAGCAACTCCCTCGCACGTACCATCACCTGGAAAAAAAAAAATTAACGGTGTGACAATTGGCATGACACGTTGAGTGCTATAACATACCCAAAAATATGCTTAGAAACAAGTTGCTACGACAGTTGGAGAGGATTTGAGCTCTTCTTCCCTCTACATTCGCTAAAACAAGCCAGGATAAGAGACAGAACCTAGTTTTTTTCCGGGACTCGTATCGTCTCTACCAGGACTTTAAAGAGAAATCTGTCCATAAATGAAAGAGAGGTTCTATGAAACCTGGAATATCATTCAAAACTAAGAGACTGACCTGAAGCTGTATCGCGACTAGCTTCGTATAGCTCTCGCGTATAAAGAAATTTACTGAATACAACAAACTATCTTTTTTTAAGAGTACTGAGAAAATTCTGAAGGAAGTGTTAAAAACACGATAATGGCGAAATGACAGAATAGCACTAAGATCAGCCCAAATATAACTGATTCGACAATGCTTAGATCTAAGGAACTGTAAGGGTTAGCCCCTACAAACACCCGAGTCCCACTTTGACTCTTACGAGTAGGCCATTTCGTCATTTTGTGTATTAAACACGCCCAATTCTGACTAAAGGCCTAACATTAAAACAAGTTGTAAGCTTACTCGAGCAGTTGAAACCATTGCCAAAATATCCAGGTTTACAGCGACATAAGTACGACCCAGGGCGATTGATGCATCTTGACTTCCTGTGGCATTTGTGGGTAAGCAGAGAGCACTCATCGATATCTAAGGAGAGAGGAAAATGGTTTTTGTAGTAACGGATTATTCTGCGTTGTCTAATGGCAAAGAGGAAGCTGGGGCGTTTTCCATTTGATGAAAAATTCTCGTTTGAATTTCCGGAAATTTCTAGTGACGAATGGAACAGCATATTTCGGAACTTCTGGAAAAAGGACAGCCTTACGAAGTTGACCAAAATTTTCGGAAATTTCTGTTTCATTTGACTTTCCTCCCTAAATTTCCAGAATATTCGGTTGAAAATTCGCTTTTCGGAAAGTCAGTAATCTCCAGACCCCTGAAAACGTTCCCAGTAAATTTTAGAACCATTTGTCCCCGTTTGAAATTTTCGGTATTTTTGGTTGAATGTAAAGCGTCCCTAGTTAATCTATCAAAACTTTCAAGACTAGAACTTGGCTGAGATAACCCTTAAACTGAAATGCTGGCAGTCTTTTCACAGATTGCTCATGTTCTGCTAAGTCAAAGAAAACTGACAAACAGCAGAGTCAAGTTGTAGACCTGCTGTGAAAATCTCCGGTTAATCATAGCGTTTAGAGTGATTAGACGTTGACATGTACGTACCTCTACAAGTACGACCATCTCCTGAGTAACCTGTTTTACATTCGCAAACTTTACCACCGCTAGATGACGTCACACAGTCAGCGTCAACAGCGCACACGACGCCTGCGCAAGTCCCGTCAGCTAAAGAAAAATTAAATCTTATTAAATCAAAAGGTCGATCGATGGATTGATAAAGCAAAGAACTACACCAAGTACAGTGAGTCAGTCAGTCATTCAGTCAGTCAGTCTGGCAGTAGGTCGGTCTTTCTGTCGGTCTTTCTGTCTGTCTGTCTGTCTGTCTGTCTGTCTGTCGGTCGGTCGGTCGGTCGGTCGGTCAGTCAGTCAGTCAGTCAGTCAGAGTCAGACAGTCAGACAGTCAGACAGTCAGACAGTCTCAGTCAAATCAATGGATTAATCACCCGATGAATGAATCAATCATATTATTCTTCTAGCTGGTGTAAGGAAATCATCAAGATCGAGGAGTTGAGTGTTTCCTTGTCTTCTTATAAACTGATTACTCACGCTTGCAGTTATTCCCGTCGCCTTCAAACCCCAGTTTGCAGGAACAGTTGTAGGATCCCACAGTGTTGATACACTCGGCATCTTGGTGGCACTCATGATCATCTCTGGTGCATTCATCGATGTCTGCAAAAGATACGTTCGTCATTGAGTTGAGGAGTGGCTCAAAGTGAAACCTTCCAAGGTCCACTCCCAAGGCTTAACATTGTCTTCGTTTATTAACTCTAATATGAACCCTATGAAATGGCAAAGACTATTGTTACTGCCCATCGATGGGATGTAGTGCATCGCCGGTGCCCATGTGTATCCCTATATGTAGGTGGAGGGAGGCAATGAGAGAACAGTATCGAAGAACGAGGAGGGATTAGTGAAGTTGATCGGTCATAGAACCTTACCAGAACACTTCCGTCCATTTCCTTGGTAACCAGCCTTGCAAATGCACACTGGACCAAGTGGCTGGTCTTGATCACATGTGGCATCCGGATGACATCTCACTCCTGCGCATGTACCATCGGCTAATGGAGAAAGAAAAACAATCATACAGCAATTTTCATTAGCTGGAAGGTAAAGGCAAGGAATCCAATATGAACCAATTCCGTTCACACGAAATCTCTCGGTGTGTCTCAGAAACGCACTGACAAATAGCTTAAAGGGATACTCTACACCTCAGAACAACATTTTAAAAAAAGATAGCTTATAACCCAAATAAGAAGTATTGAACAGCTATAAGTGGTCAATCTTCGTATTTTTTGTGTAAATGGGGAACGTTCTTGACTTGCGGTTCGAGCTTTGGATCACAGGTCAAAAACCGGAAGTGACGTAGAAAGGAGAACTCGCAAAACC